TATAGCGCCACCAAATCAATGCAGGATTGAAAAAGTGAAATTCAAAGGCAACAAAAGATTGTTTGTGTGTTGGCAGAAGCTGCAGTACATGCAGCTGTTATGGTGGCGTAGAGTAAAGGGGGGCCTTTATGTGTCTTCACAGATGTGGACCCTCCTCGTGAACTGAAGGTCACACACATTCAAACGGACAGTGCAACTCTAACCTGGAAACCTCCGCAAGCTGCCGTCACTGGTTACACTCTGACCTTCTCTTCTGCCGACGGTGTCATCAGGGTACGATTGACGACAGTGAAAGTATCTTCATGATCCAGGGAATTTCTGAGAAGCTAGAATATTTTATTTATATGTAGAGTTACCTTTGAGATATTTTAGGTACAATATTTATTTAAAAATATATGATAATACTTTAAACTCCTTTTCTCTTCAAATAAATGTATTGGTTCTTGTGTGTGCGTGTGTGTGCTCAGGAAGTGGTGCTAAGCCCAACAGCCTCGTCCTACAGCATTGCTCAGCTAACTGGTTCCACAGAGTACAGTGTGAGACTGCAGGCCGTGGCTGGAGCCCAGAAGAGTGGATCTGTAGCCACTGTCTTCACGACCAGTAAGAATGACAACATCAAACACCACTGATACAATCGGTTCCATAGTGTAGCGGTTATCCAACTGCATCAGAGAGAAGAGAGTCCTGGGATAGATACCCAGAGGAACCACATACTTGGTGCCTGTAGGGGGCAGCCTGTTGCAGTGGATCTGCTGTTAACACCAGAATTTCACAAATATGGCATCAATAAAATTCAAGTTAATTAATTATTAAATTGATATGTTTCTTAGTCACTTGTTTTCCCATAGATGCAAAAATTATATAATAATAAACTTTCACATAATTATTATACACTAACTTAACAGACACAATTATTCAGCTTCCAAATAGTTCTGTAGCTTTAAGATGTGGAAATTTTTAAAAAAAACCACACATTTTCAGCGTGTCTTTCTAGGTTCCAAGGTGGAAAATGTCTGTTATTTGTCTTCAGAGTTAAATACCTGAAAAGTTGTTATCGTAAAACAAAGAACGTGACCACACCCAGACTGTTCACCAGGGTCAAGGTGTGACAGGAGGAGGGGGTTGTTGGTTTCACGTGGAGTCTGTCTGTAGGTTCTGAGAATAAGGCTTAGTTTCCTGGAGGGGAGGCGGTGGCCACAGTACGACACTGTGAGAGGCTGAAAGTTACAGTGTTACAGTCAGTAAGAGTCGACTCCTCTGTTGACTGATGGTTTCATCAGGTTGACGTGGATTCTTTCTCAACTAATTTTTCAGAGGTTAAATACCAGGCTGAATACCAGAGGAGAAGAGACTTCAGGAAACTAAGACTCTGTCTATGTCTAAATTTCTTTGAACAAAACTGAATACCAGAGGAGAGGAGACTTCAGGAAACTAAGACAGTCCAGTTGTCTATGTCTAAATTTCTTTGAACAAATCTGAAACAAAACATTTACAACCAGGCAGCAGCTGTTGAACCCTCGTGTTCCGTCATCCTCCCTGCTTTACTCACTATTGCACTTTAATATGAATATAAATTAAACCACATACTATTGATAAAGAATTTTAAAATGGTGATTGAAATAGTAAATAATTTAAGAAATTCAATTAACCTCTGAAGTTACTTGCCTTGATTTACTGTTGTAACCAGACTGTTCCTGGTTCGAATAAACAAAAATTTTGCATTCACTGAAGATTCACCTCAGCAGACTTAGGGATGGCTCCATACTAGGGTTAGTATCGGTCTAATATTGGTCAATACTTTCCAGCACATACATAAAAAAATAACTATAGCTCGTCCGATCTGATATCTTAGCTCAAACGCATATACTTGGCGCAACATACCGTGACCACAGACACTATCTCCTCAGTGACCGCAGCCCCTAGCATGCTGGAGGAGTGAGGAAGGTATTGGATTAATATTGGTGTTGGCAGATACTCCAGGTTGCAGTATTGGATATGAAGAGGTTGTATTAAGCCATTCTTACTGGAAAAGTTTATAATTTACAGCACGATTGACATAGAGTGTATAATAGAAGTTAACGTCTATACATTTTATACTTTTCCACTTTGGTAACCTCTGACCTCTAGGTTAAATGCATCAGAATTAAAAGTATTTTTTTTACACATTATGTCTTTTAGAGGACATTGTGGTGTCAAGAGCCCAGTTCCACTTCTTCTCGCACATCGCTGATTTAATATTCCAGTCTTTTCACCTGTCATTATTTTCCCCCTTCACATTAAACCTGAAGCTGCACCAAACAGCTGCCGTGGAAAACCTTCTAATTTCCCTCCTTCGTTCCCTCCATGCTCACATTTCTTTCCAATACCCTTTTTACCTCATGATGCACTGCCTGGCCTAATGCATTCTTCATATGACCAAGATGAAGATGAAACAACTGTGTGTGCTGAGGTGTGAAAAATCCAGATAACTTCTTTTTCAGCTGGGAAGCTGTTTCGACGACCTCGGACTTGGGTTAGCTCCTGCTGAATGGAGAGAAGACTTCTGGTCTGTACAAAATCTATGTGGGAGGAGAAGACGGCCAGTCGCTCCAGGTTTACTGTGACATGACCACAGATGGTGGAGGATGGCTGGTAAGAGAGACGCCACCTGCTGGCCACCTGTGTATGATAGTCATTTGTTCAAATACAATCACAGAGCCTGTGGCACATTATTCATCTGAATTGTTTGTGAAGCTGCTGTGACTCATCAAACTCAAAACTTCTCAGATTTTCCTCAGACGCCAGAATGGAAAGCTGGAATTCTACCGGAACTGGAAGAACTACACTGCTGGATTTGGTAACATGAATGATGAGTTTTGGCTGGGTAAGAAGACAAGTCTTTTTTTTTAAGTCCTTTATTTCATGTCCCTCCTCTCACTACTGACTCAGGTCTGTGACATCTGGGTTACAGGTCTGTCCAACCTCCATAAAATCACATCTTCAGGTCATTACGAACTACGGGTCGACCTGAGAGACCAGGGCGACTTGGCCTACGCTCAGTATGACAAGTTCACCATCGCAGAGCCGAGAACACGCTACAAACTCTACATAGGAGGGTACAGTGGAACAGCAGGTGGGTTGGCTCACATCTCCAAGGGCAGGGGTCACCAACCTTACTGAAACTGAGAGCTACTTCCAGAGTATGGCGGTAATATGAAGAGCCACTTGTTTGATACAGACTCCCTTCAACAATGTGACAATAATTAAAAGAAAACTAATGCTGCTCCTGGAACATACAACAGTAGAACACTGTCTATCTATTGATCTTTTAGATTATATTTGGGGTTTTTCATAAAGTTAATGTAACATTGGCTGCAGTTTTATTTCTGTGAATATTTGTTTATTATGTTTAACTTTTCCAAAAATATCAATATAAAATAATAATCTAAAGTTTAGTTGAAGATTTGATCCCCATAGACAACATTTTACACAACACGTAGAACTAATTCTTGTCTATTCCGCCTCAGCACCATAAACTTCTAAGTTTTTTTATTTCTATTTTTTTGTTTCATTCTACGATAATTACAGTTGAGTTGAGTCACTGATCTCTGTACACTGTATGTCCCTCAGGTGACTCCCTGATATACCACCAGGGGCGCCCCTTCTCCACCTATGACAATGATAATGACATCGCTGTCACCAACTGCGCCCTGTCGTATAAAGGAGCTTTTTGGTATAAAAACTGTCACCGTGTCAACCTGATGGGGAAATATGGGGACACCAGCCACAGTAAGGTAGGACCACCTTTTATCTGCAAAAATGTTACACTTGAATCATAACTAATTAAAGCAGTGATGGGTCAACAAAGCCAAGAAATCTGACAAGATGTCTTGGCTTCAAGATTTTTTTTATTATTTTTATTTCAGTTGGGGAGCAAATGGTTTTAAATCTGATAAAATCAAACATTCTGGAAAAGTAGATTACAATATAAGCGATATATTGTATTTTATTGTAATACATTTTTTCATTTATTTGATCTTTTTTTTAAATATTTTCTTCTTCTCCTATGCCAGCACTGATGGACTGTAGTGAATTTTCCTCTTCTCGAACCCATAATTCAGGTCAAATAATAATCTGTTAATTTAATTTAGAATTCCATCCCACTTTTATACTCCATTGAAAAAGGCCAACTTCTCCGTGACTCTGACTCAGTGTTGACGTCTCTTCACTTTGTATTTCCACTACGTTAACAGAAGCTCATCTGAACTGCACAGCAGACCGTCTACTGTGTTGTTGAATCGAAGGCTTTTTGTGATGTTGACAGAAACAGATCAGTTTTCCTCTGATTTGTGTTGGGTTTTCCTTTTCTTTTCCACAGGGAATCAACTGGTTCCACTGGAAGGGCCACGAACACTCGATTGAATTTGCAGAGATGAAGATTAGACCGTCCAACTTCAGGAACTTTGAAAGCAGAAAAAAACGATCATAGAAGTGTAACCACACACACACACACACACACACACACACACCCTCCCCCACCCTCGTACCTCCTTCCTCTTCAGTCATGAACTCTTGTGTTTCCTCTGGTCTAAATTATTCACACACCGAGGCAGTTACGGTGACCATTCTTCACACTGCCCTGCATCACACCAAAGAACTAAACAATCATTTTTCAGTAGCGGGTTCCAATGTGTGAGCGATGATATGTCTGTGTTTGGTTTCAGGGTTGTTTAGCTGTTTGTTTACGTACGAATCAACGTAGAAATATGTGTCAAACAGCAGGGTTTCTTTTGAAATCAGATATAATCACAAAATGGAACCAATGATCCAAGGAATGTCAAAGGCACATAGTCAGCGGACATCCGGCCATGTCCTTCATGTTACTAAGAGCTATTGAATTCAGGAAGTTAACTTTTTTTCTCATTGACTGGTAATAATTATTTAAAATGTGAAACATTTCCAGTGTCTTTGAAAGAACTGTTTAGTTCAACTGTTCAGTGCAGTCTGTGATAAAGCAGAAATTAAAGATGAATTCATGTAAAAAGTATAAGATTAAGATTAACAATATTGGTTTTACATTCTTGAAAGTTTACAAACTTTAATTCCATCACAAATTAGTACAAAATGTGCAATTGATTTTGCCTTTAAACCTTCAGTAAAATTATTTTTGGAATCTGTGTAAATCACAATGAATGTAAAAAATTTAAATGTACCAATAAAAATAATTAAAATAAACGAATAGCTCAGTTTACAACTATTTTAATTTTGAATGCCCGGAATATATTCAAATAATCCTTGGAGGTCTACCTTGATGAAATTTGATGCGTGTTTGCTGCAGGGCATATTTTGTTGTCCAGCAGGTGGCAGTGTTTATTCTTGATAGCGGTTGAGTAGGATGTGCTCAGAGTATGAATAAGAGATAAAGAATTCTAAATATTGATGAATCTTTATCGTGTAGAAATGTATAAATAAACAACGGTCACCTGTGTGAAATGCTCGTTTTAGTTCTTCTCACATTTAAAAACTTCTCTGTAATGTTTAAATATATATATATATATATATATTTTTATTTTTTTTTTCACTAAAGTACTAAAGAACGGACTTTAAACTCTTCACAAACACCTCACATGATGTGGCTGTGTTTAGAATACTATTGCAGCACTTTTATAATACTTTAAGACTACCTTAAAAATACGTTTTTATCAGTTATTGTCCATCAAGTATGTTCACTATCAATTTGAAATTGGGGGAAAATTATTTTTCTTTTTGGCTTATTTTTTTTAAATAAAATTGAACTGAACAGAAAAAATTTGCACCATAACAGATTAGGACAGAATATACATATTTTCAAAATATAATAAATAAAAAAAAAAAATAAAAAAAACACTTAACACCTAAGATGTGACCTGCTTAATGAGCTGTACCACAGACTAGTGATGTAAGCGTCAGCTCAGGGACGTCCTAAAGCTTTGAACTGACATGAAATGATGAAAGATAAAGTGATGTTTATCTTTTGTATTTATTCAGTTTAGGGTTTGAGTTGACGCTCGTGAAAGCACCGCGGTGAAAATGAAAGAATGAGGTCAAACCAAGTGTTGCTGACAGAACAAGAGACTGATAAAACAAAAAAACCGAAAAAAAAAAAAAAAAAATATATATATATATATACACACAAGGTATAAACAACATCATATCTCCAGACAACATTATATCTAAGTCCAAAGTGAGACTGGAGGAAGTAACTGCCAAACTGGGATTAAAGGTTGGTCAACAGCAGCCTGTCAGTGATTGGACACTGAGATTGCAGACCAAGAAAAAAATCAATTTAAAGAAGAAAAAAAAACAGCTAGACTTAAGAATGATAAGAATAATCTGGAGGACAGCAACACTGGATTATAGAGGGAAATCATTCAGATTGTTTCAGAGACAGATTTTAAAATTAGCAACGTGAGCGTTGACACTGGAATGTCATTTATTATCATTGATTCACTGGATCGATTGTAAGTTAATCTGTATGAAGTTTGCGCGGTCTCTCCATCTGCGATGATTGTGGGCTGTTTTCTCTCTCTTCCTGGTGTCAACCACACTGAAGAGCCAAAGAAATGTGGGGAAGCGCTGTATTAAAGCCCTCAAAGAGTTAGCGGAGTTAGCAGCTGACGCTAATACTACAGAAATCCTTAATTTCATTTAAGTTGATCTGATTCAGAAATCATTCAATGTGTTTTAAAGAAACATTCTTCATATTATCAATACATTCACTGGTCCAATATTAAAGGACCAATCAATTAGTCTTGACTTAAAAAGTGCATATGATGATATGAACACGTCTGACTCAATATTGCTTCTCTGGGATCTGATTTATCTCTCTTTCCCAACTTGCAAGCTGAAGCTTTTTTTTTTTTCCAAAATCATTACATTTTCGTCATTTAATCCATCGGTTCCACGAACCCATGCAGACGTGCGGCTTTGCAATCCCTTTCAAATGAGATTATCTGGAGGAAAAAAAAGAATCTGTGTGACTGCCCTAATTTCCCAGTTGGCTTTTTAGTTGAACCAGAGTTCATCTCTGTCTTTCAACCTCAGGCATGTGAGTCTCTCTTCTGGACAATCTGGGGCAACTTCTATGTCCTCTTTGCACCTCGCTCTGTTTGTTTTGCAGCCTCACACTTTAATGGCTACATTTCAGCTCCCGCGCATGTGAAGCAGAGTCAGGCCAGAGACTGAGTTTGCAAGCTTTGGTTTTCTCAGTATTTCCTTAACGTGTTCTGGGGACCAGCGTCAGGCGCTGGAGTCTTTTTAAAGGTTATGTTTGAAAATGACAATGAGGAATGCAGGGAGGATTGACGAGACTCTCGAAGTTGTCTGGCTGGCAGTGGGGACTTTTCCACATGAAGTTTGAGACGAAGAAATAACTTGCCGTGGATTCGCACCTATGCATATTGCCAGGATCTGATTTCGCCCTGAGATGTTTCTAAATAAGGACCCGTAGGTCATGAGTCCAGTCTTCTTGTAAAGGCTTCACACTGACACCAATAAAAATCCTTGTGGTGATCTCACTGCCCAGTGTTTTGGAAAGCACCCGTCTGGCGTTTGTCCTTAGACAACCAACCGTGGTGATACAGTGATGGGTTTAGAGTTTGGTTCTGTGAGAATGTGGCATTTGTCATTGTATTTATTTATCAGTGACCGATTTCCTCAGAGGTTTGAGGGTTTTTGAAACATGTTGTTTCAAAAAGATAAACATGTTGCTGCAGGGTTTATCTGCAGCTGCTAAGATAAACTGTCTGAATGTCATTTTCAGGAGGTTTTTTTTAAATCAGATTAGTGTTGAGAACAAAAGGAGTTTCTTCCCAAGGCTCAGTCTTTGCAAAGATTATTCAACCT